CCCATATAAAGTGAAGCTTATGATGGAGATTACAGGCTTTATATGAGACTTTTCCCCACTGAGGGGTCCTGGCACTGTGGTCTTCTGAAGCAAAGCGCAAGACATTCTGTTCTCCTCCAGCAGCACTGGCGCTTTTGAGCTTGGAGGGAATACAAGGAGGGAATGGATTCCCTGAGGGATGCTTTGTGATTTACTCTTCTGTTCACCTTCAGAGCCTTAGCTTCACGTATGCTATTATTTGGCACAGTTACAGCATCTGTCATATAGCTTTAATGTCTCAGATGTGTTTAACACCTTTTATTTAAACCCTATATTACCATCAACACTTTTTTAATAATGTTAACGCTTTAACACTTTCAAATAGAGTCATTGTTTGAAGCCCATCTGAATTGCATAAAATATCATAATAAATCTTATGCACATGTTGCGATAATTGCAAGGTTTAAATAGCCATGGACTCTAAACACAATATGGGAGTTGTTCTGTCTGTAAAGCATAGGTCAGATCTCATCTTTTCTCGGACAATGAAGGATTTCCGTGGAGATTTCGACATCCTCTTTAACATCAAAATAAGCTGTTGGGGCGTGAATCCTGCTGCTGTGGGTTTGAACTACTGGAAGGACAGATTTCTCTAGAGAACGTATATGTGCTCTACCCAAATCCCTTTTGAACTATTTTTTCCAGACTTGTAAGTGTTTGACTTTAAAAGGATGTTAGAAACACCTAAAAGGCTCTCTCGGACCGAGAAGCTCTAGGGACCCCTTAGGAGAAATTTGTGCCTGGAATTTTGTCACTTCAACTTAGAGTGCACACTTTTAAATTGTAGTTCTCCATTGCAATTTGGAGCATGAGGGTTTTTATACACTATAACAAATCCAGTGTCACTTACATAACGCACTTTTATGGTGTGGTGAGGCTTTGTAGTTCTTTGTAACTAGTTTTAACTCTAGTTTTAAGCTAGAGGTTTTAGGTTCAAACCCCAGATGGGGCCATTCACGAGCCACTGACATTGTGCTCTTGAGCAAAGTACTTAACCAACCCCAGTGTGAGTTTCAGACAGTGCAAAAGTACCGTAAGTAACCTTGGATTGGAAAGTGACTCGTTAATGAAGAATAATTTAACAATGTAGCATACTTGTGATATACTGTGAAGCTGTGGGTCAATGACATGATGATTTTTTTTTTCTTTGAAAAATGAAATTCATACATATAATGACCTAATACACAACACCACTTCTATGAATTGTCAAACTGAAACACACACACACACACAGGTTTGTTTTTGTGAATTGTGGGGACATTCCATAGGCAAAATGGGTTTTATACTGTACAAACCGTATTTAAAGATAAAGTTGTTATTAAAGATAATAGTTATTTAGATAATTTTTATAAAAAAACACTGCATAGACATTACAAAAAAGTATAGCTTTAGAAAGAAATATAAGTAGCTTTAGAAATAAATATTCTCCCCCCCCCCCAATTCGCACCCTGGCTATAATCAATAGTATATGCTTTTGTGGAAACCATCTGTTTGAACAAAATTCATGGCGACAAACTACATTTCCCATGATGCTATATAGAAAATCGGACGGTTGTGAAGGAAATTGTGCCAAAAGAGCTCTGCAGGGAACACCCACTCCCATGAAGCACCATAAATGTCCTAATTGATCTCCCAAAATACTTAAACATTTGTATGTATGCATATTTAACAATAATCTTCAAATGTATTGTTTCTATAGATGCGATCAGCAACTTTAAATGAATCGTTTTATATTTCTCCATTCTTTTTAATTTGATTGTCATTCGCAGTGCTTCATAGGATTGTAGTTTTTCCATCACTAAAGCTGTTAAGTACACAGCTGTGTATCTTTGTATTTTTATATGGTTTTCAAATACTTTTTTGTGTCAAATAAAAGTCTATAATGTGATTCACCTTTTAGCTGGTTAGCTTGGTTAATAGACTCTATGGAAAAAATTAATGGGAAAAATACAAATCAGAACAAATGCTGCTGAAAAGTGGGTAGGCAGTAATGCACTCTATAGTGCATCAATTCATCAGTTATAAATTGAGTTAAATTCAGCTATTACCAACTCTACAGAAGGCAATAGTGTCATTATACAGCTCAAGTCAGTTCAATGTTGATTCAATTCAGTTCACTAACCGTGTCATTGTTGCAAAGGATCTGACACTGTGACATACTGCCCTCACATTAATTTCTGAAAAATCAGATGGTATTTCTTTGTGTGTTATGTTGTAACTTCCTATATATTTTTTCCTTATAGTCTGGAACCTAAGCAATTTGGGCACATTTGAAAAATGCTATGTCATGCAAACATGTCCTGAGATATTGCTTCAGATGCATCGCATTAAAAAAATCCCAGGGCTTGTTTCCTATGTCCTTGCTTGACGAGTTTTAATGCAAGCTTGATAAATGATCCATATCACCTTCCAGCTCTCTTTATTAGCCTGCGCTATGCTATAAGCATTCCACACTCAAAGCTCTTTTTATTTAGCAGTGGTGTCATGTAGCACTATTCGAGGTCGGACATAATTGAGACGTGTAGCGGATTATTTAGCCATAACTGTGTTTTCTTGATACCCGTCAGCCATTTTTGAAAACTTTTGTTGAATCTACTCAGTCAAACGCATAGAGATCTAATCAGTCGCTAAGCACTTGTAATTCCCATATAAAGTGAAGCTTATGATGGAGATTACAGGCTTTATATGAGACTTTTCCCCACTGAGGGGTCCTGGCACTGTGGTCTTCTGAAGCAAAGCGCAAGACATTCTGTTCTCCTCCAGCAGCACTGGCGCTTTTGAGCTTGGAGGGAATACAAGGAGGGAATGGATTCCCTGAGGGATGCTTTGTGATTTACTCTTCTGTTCACCTTCAGAGCCTTAGCTTCACGTATGCTATTATTTGGCACAGTTACAGCATCTGTCATATAGCTTTAATGTCTCAGATGTGTTTAACACCTTTTATTTAAACCCTATATTACCATCAACATTTTTCAATAATGCTAATGCTTTAACACTTTCAAATAGCGTCATTGTTTGAAGCCCTTCTGAACCGGCATGAACTATCTTAATAAATCTTATGAACATGCTGCAATAATTGCGAGGTTTCAAATTGCCATGGACTCTAAACCCAATACGGGAGTTGTTCTGTCTGTAAAGCGTAGGTCAGATCTCATTTTTTCTTGGACAACGAGGGATTTCCGTGGAGATTTCGACATCCTCTTCAACATCAAAATAAGCTGTTGGGCCGTGAATCCTGCTGCTGTGGGTTTGAACTGCTGGAAGGACAGATTTCTCCAGAGAACGTATATATGTGCTCTATCCAAATCCTTTTTGAACTATTTTTTCCAGACTTGTAAGTGTTTGACTTTAAAAGGATGTTAGAAACACCTAAAAGGCTCTCTCGGACCGAGAAGCTCTAGGGACCCCTTAGGAGAAATTTGTGCCTGGAATTTTGTCACTTCAACTTAGAGTGCACACTTTTAAATTGTAGTTCTCCATTGCAATTTGGAGCATGAGGGTTTTTATACACTATAACAAATCCAGTGTCACTTACATAACGCACTTTTATGGTGTGGTGAGGCTTTGTAGTTCTTTGTAACTAGTTTTAACTCTAGTTTTAAGCTAGAGGTTTTAGGTTCAAACCCCAGATGGGGCCATTCACGAGCCACTGCCATTGTGCTCTAGAGCAAAGTGCTTAACCAACCCCGGTGTGAGTTTCAGACAGTACAAAAATACCGTAAGTCACATTGGATTGGAAAGTGACTGGAAAATAACTACTAAAGAACAATTTATTAGCATTCTTGAGATATACTGTATGATGATGACAAGCTGTGGGCCAATGACATGATGCTATTTTTTTTTGTCTGGAACTATTAATTCTTTATTACAAAAACAAATTGTACAAATACAATTGCAAATTGTACAAATGCAGTTCATATATACATACCGGATACACAACAGCACTTCTATGAATTTCCAAATATATACGTGTGTTTGTGTGTGTATGTATGTATGTACAGCTGCCCTCATAACATAATGAAGAAAAAGGCTCATTAAAACAGATTCTTGTAGCTTGGCATAAGCTTTTGTTATTTCTTTAAAAATGAAGAAAAATTCTTATCTGTTTATTAATATTTATTAACATTTTTATAACAAGGCATGGATAGTTTAAGCTATGAAATAGGATGTTCATTTATTACTTTTGTTTAAAAAAAAGTCAACTCAATATATGTATAATTTATTAAAATCTTTCATTTATTTATTCATGCATTTATTCATTCATTCATTTATTTTTTGGTATACTGAAAATTATTTAGATGTCTACACTTGCAAGAAATACAGAAAATATGTTATTGAATTTTACTTGATGGTTAGACCACAACATTATTAGTCATTGAAACTTTTTTCTTGACAATGGTCTAAAGGTTTTTCAAAACCAAATAAAACCATCATGAATACAAAGTACATGTGTTTGAAACTGAATTTCTTTGGACACTTTTATTTGACATTGACCCATATGCTGTCTTGCATGAGCCAAGTATGATAATGGAGCTACTCTTTCCTTTGTTGGAACTTGAGATGGTACATATTTGCTTTCTTTCTCCAAACCTTTGCATTGGAGCTCTACCCTTCTCCCTCTGTCTGTTTCCCCCTCCCTTCCCGCTTCCCTTCAGCCCTAAAGATTAATGTGCTCCACTTTCAGCAGCGCTGTCAAATACCCATCCAAAGGAAAGAGCCGCATGTCCGTTTTGCTCACCTGTAGCGCTCTGCCTGCACCTGCATCTCAGATGGAAACTTCTGAAATGCCAAAAGTCATGTTGTCTTAATCTGGGGTTCAAATGTGAAGTGGTATTATAAAAATGACAGTAAATCAAACCTGCATCTGTGCTGACAGACTCTCTTTTTGTTTATTTCTTTGACTCTTTTCGCTCTCTCTGATTTTCTTCAACCTCTCCCCCTGATATCTGTTCTCACCACAGGTTTGAGAGCTTCAGCTACAATCATCGTTCATTCCTGTGGTCTTTCCCATCAATCACCGGTCAGACGGTCTGCTCTATCCCGCTATCCACGCCAGTGCTGAGGGTGGTGCACAATTTCCCAGGAGCCACCTTATAGCCTCAAGATCTTTGGTGCCTGTTCAATACGGAGGAGTGTATTTTTTATTTCCTTCTTTTTTTTTTTACGTTCATCCTTTAATCCAAATGATGCACATAGGCTCTGCAGTGTGGACTGGACTGACTGTAATGACTATGTTGCTGTTAGCCCAGTGGGACGTGGGCTGCTGGGGGATGACTCTGAACTCTATCCCGCTCCGCCCGGCTTCCCTCAGGCCCTTCAGAGCTAGTGTGGGTGCATCCCTTCAAAGACACAAGCGCAACTGGGTGTGGAACCAATTCTTCGTCCTGGAGGAGTACACGGGAGATGACCCTCTTTATGTTGGCAAGGTAAAGTGAAATTGCTCTGATATTTTATATATATCAAGTGCACTTAGGTCATTTATTATGACAAATAGGGCTGAGTGAAAAAAGGGAAACACATAAAGGGAAACATACGAAGAGTTCATTTGCAAAAACCGATAACTTTTTTTTATCCTGCATTCCAATTAATATCAATCAAACTGCACTTGGGTTGTTTTGATTAAATAATAACCTAAAAAATACAGCTAACTAACACAATAAAACAATAAAAACATGATAAAACAATAAAAACATGATTTAAGAAAATTAATAAAAACGGAGTTATCTGTTTTTGCAAATAAACTCTTCATATAAATGTAGGAATTATCAAAAGGCTGAGAAATATACGAAAACATTGAGTTGAGTTCAACTCAATATTATAATACTGTAATAGTTTTCATCCTTTTGATGATGTTTGTTGATATATATATCTCACCCAGACCTATTGACATGTACATTTTCTGTACTAAAACCATTTTCTGCTGTGCTTGTTGTCATGATGTGGTGTTAGATCCTGCTTATGATTCGATCACAAGTGGTCAGATAAGACACACTGCAATTGATACTAAAACAACCTACCATTCAAAAGATTGTTTAATGTTTTTGAAAGAAGTCTCTTATGCTCACCAAGGCTGCATTTATTTGATGCAAAAATACAATAAAAACATCAATATTGCGAAATATGATTATAATTTAAAATATATTTTCTATTTTATTATATTTTAAGATGCAATTTATTCCTGTGATGGCAAAGCTGAATTTTCAGTAGCCATTTCTCTAGTCTTCAGAGTCACATGATCCTTCAGAAATCATTCTAATACTGATTTGCTGCTCAAAAGCATTTCTTATTATTGTCAATCTTGAAAACAGTTGTGCTGCCTACTATTTTTGTGGGAACCATGAGGCTATTTAAAAATGATTCTTTGATGAATATTAATTCAAAAGCATTTTTTGAAATATAAATCTTTTGTTAGAAATGTCTTCACTGTCACTTTTGATCCACATAATGCATCCTTTCTGAATTAATTTCTTTCAGAAAAAATTACTATTGTTTATTATAATTTTATCTATTTTATTTATATAAAAATTACTATCTCTACACTTTTGAATGGTGGTGTCCATCTCATTTGACCACTTTGGTCAGATATAGTGTGGTCACATTTTCGATCACCTTTGAATGTAGTTGAAGTGGCACAATCTTAAAATGTTTGCACTTGCATTTAGCACTGACCCGTTCAGTGCCGCCACTCCCTATACGCAGAGTATGCAGTTTGCGTAGGGCACCAACTCCCAGGGGGGCACCATCCCAGTTGCTCAAAAAAAAAACTTGATGCGCCATTCCCCCATCCGCGCTCGCGACTGCTCGCACCTCATGTTTGCAGCTGAATGCAAATGATCATAATTGATGGATGGACTATGGACATCTATGCCCGTGCCATCAGAAAGACATCAGCAATCCAGCGCAGAGAAAAGAAAAAGAAAGAAAAAAAGGTGAAAACGAAGCCCGTGCATCACTTTCAGGCACATTCATAATCCTGTGAAACTTTTTTGGCTGTTGACTTTAGTAACGTGTTTTAATGTCGGATATAATTTCACCATCACCAACGCATCTAATATTCTCTCTGAGTTTCCATGTTCCCTTACGAAAATTAGCCATGGTTTTAACACGAATAAAACCAAAAATCATCGTTCTTGTAACCATGGTAACCGCAAATTAACCATGGTTTTGTTACTTCAAATAATAATTTGCAAAGAAGTATTAAGATCATATTTTTTGAGGTTATAAAAACAGACCTAAGCCAACAATAGCCTTAAAAATGACTTAAAATGCATTATATAAAAACAATGATGCACTAATGATTGGTTAATAACACTGTTAAAATACATAATGTAGGCTAATACAAAATAAACAATTTATGTACGTTACATGTTATTACAAATGCCTGCAAAGGGAGCCAAAGGTCTGGTAATTGCTGCTGCTACACTTACAGGACAATCAAATCCTTGTTTAGGTTATTGGCCAAACATTTAATTCAAATATTCACTTAATCTTTCATTTTTGGCCAGCTTTTTGCTATAGATGACACAGCCCCAATTAGACAACTGTATTAATAAAGTCATAGCCATAGGTAACTGTCTAGAGCTACAATTGTAATTTGTGAATAATATTTTGACCCCTATAGGTGTTTTTTTTTTACTTCCATAATATTTGAGGAAGGGGGGCACAACAATACAATCCTGCTTAGGGCACCCATTTGGCCAGCAGCGGCCCTGGACCCATTTCAAACAAATCACCTGGAATGAATCTGAATACCAGGTGTAAACAGGGTCTTAGATCTCATCCAGTGGTTGCCTGTTAACTGAGCTGACATGTTTATTTAGATAATGTACTTGGGGTGCCCAGAAGCCACTAGAGCTGTCCAGTCGCTCAGACTTATTTCTCTGGAGTTTCTGGCAAAGTCTTGTGCCTCAGTCGCACATGATTGCCGTTTCTGTTAAACATGTGATGCTGATTAAACATGACTAGCTATTGTGCATAGACTTGCCATACAGGGACCTTGCTAATATGGCTAAAAGTTATATCATAAGGAATCCAATTATCCTTGATCTTTTGATATATGTGCTATGAAGATATACTCTAACAGAACTAAAACGCTTCTCTTTAGTCCATAAAAAAACATTTATTGAAATTGAAAGAGTAGAAAAGCTGCAAAGGCGGCATGTTGAATGCATCGGCACATCAAAGTGAGCGAGAAAACTTGCCATTAAAAACGTCTCGGTTACTTGTGTAACCCTCGTTCCCTGAAGGAGGGAACGGAGACGTTACGTCAGTCATGACTGACGAATTGGGATCTCGCCCGAGAGCCCAATCACCTTCGAGTGTTAACTAAACAAGCCAATGACAGTTGG